TCTTTCTTCTCTCTCTTCTCTCTCTCTCTCTCTCTCTCTCTCTCTCTCTCTTTTTTTTGTGCGCGCATATTATACAGGAACCGTCGTACGCCAAAACGCGCGCGGCTTTTATTTTCTTGGGCAATCTGCCGTGTCGATTTTACGAGCGTCCTGCGGCCGCGAATACCTCGTCGCGAGTACAAATGACGGTAATTCTCGTTGACCGAGCCGTGCGCGCGCGCCCGCACGTTATCGTTATCGCAGTTGCGTTTATGGCGTTTCTTTTCTGTTCCCGTCACTTTTTGTTTGCCCTGCCTATCGGAACGATCGACGCCGTTAACAGTTCCAGATTACTTTTCCCGCCCGTGCTCTCTCGCCGCGTCGCGCGACGGCATTCGTTTCAACCCGCATTTCCGCATTAACCCTTCACCTCCCTCCGCGTGCACGCGCGCGCCTTTTTTTTTATTCACAAAAGCGCGCATTCCGTCGAGAGCTAATCGGTAGCTAACAGGTTTCGCAACATATTCCTTGTGGTTCCGCGGATTGGCGATGAAACGTAATGACGTTTTGAGCGCAAGAAACGAGTGTACATAGTTCGTAGTTTTTAGATGTATATGGGAAGGGCTTTGAGAAGCGATGTTTTAAAATTCCGTTGAGATATCTTCCGACACGAAACATTTCCCAGTCGACTCATTTCGTGAGTAACTTTGATGTTACGTTTGAAGAAATTTAGTTTTAAAACCAGATCGATATCATACATATACACTGGATATATTTTAAAATTTTTGATCTGACGATCATCCGCACTCATAACTTCAAAAGAAAAAAAAAGATATTCTATAAATTATTCTTTATATATATATATAGGGTGTCCCAAAATTCACAATTCAAAATATTATACCAAGTTCTCGAAAAAGCAGCAGTTTTTGAAATATAAAAGTTGTAAGCTAGTCAATCTTAATATCTTAAAAACTGCTGTTTCAAATAAAAATTTACATGAACTTTTTACTTAATTTTTCGAAAATTTTCTTGCTATAATAATTGGAGTCGTGAATTTTGGGTCATCCTCTATATTTGAAATACCTGTATGAACCGCAAAATTCGTGATCGATATGTTGAACTTAAAAATATATTAGACGACTCGAGATAATATTTGATAATTCATAAATAACCGCATTATTTAATTCAATTATTTAGTGTCCTATTTCAAGACAGAATGAGTTATGATGGTTTTATTGATTAATGAACTAAAATGGAAGTCTTTGGCACATTTTATAAGAGCGCTTTATTGATTATGAATGTCATTACCATGGAAAAATCTCATTTATTCTGACGTAACGTATATGAAAATTAATATATCATTCTATCCGTGGTGTTGATACAAAATGGCTAGATTTAAATAATTTGGCCAATCAGGCCATCAATCAAGTAACTTTAAAAGTGTTATTCATGAAAACACCATCAACGTCCCTATTTATAACTCAAAAAATAAAAAAAAATAAATAAAAATAGAAAAGAAATAAATAAAGAAAAACGTGAAAAAAATCTCGCTGTAAACACTCCGCTGTGAAAGAGAGCTATAACTATTAAAAAAAAAAAGAAAAAAGAAAAAACTGAGATGTATTTCGCGTAATAAATTTTAAAAGGACATGAAAGAAAAGAGAGAACGTGTGGAATAGCTGAACGGGAATGAAAGAGAATTTACCGCGAGAATGTTCGTGGATCGAGGAGGAAATATTGTTTCGCTACAAATTCGTTATCGAGTTTGCAAAGGTGGACACGTTGCTTAGTCGCTCGTCCAATGACGTGGTTCAAAGGGCGAGCCCTGATTTATGCCGATCGTAAGAGAAAGAGACCGCCGCTCGGCTAAAGGAGCGCCACGCTTGGCAAGGTTCGAACTTGCACTTTATGCACGTATGAATACGTACGCGTGATCCGAATACTGTTTTCGCTACGCGAGATCCGCGCGGCGAAAGCTTTCCGAGGGCTTTCCGGAGATTGCGGAGGGAATCCCTTCGTGAATTACCTCGCGATGACCTACCGCATCGTGATGTCCGGCGCGGTTTCGCCACGTACGATCGACGCGGGGCTTCAGCGCCGCGATACAGAGAGGAGCCGCATATCCACATACATGTCTGTAGTGCTTACGAAATCACGCGCGAATTCTCTCCCGGTCGGTTGTCCGTTCGTGCATGGATTTTCATAGATTTTCCGAGCGACGATGTACCACGAGCCGGAGAGAGAGAGAAAGAGAGAGAGACAGCGAAACATGAGTGCGCGCATGTATCGAGGGTACGCCCCCCCCCCCCGTTGGAGAAAAAAAATTGAACTCGTTAGAAAGAAAATTGGATGTCCAGGTATTCAGAAATCCGCGTACGCAATATGGCGTAACCGTGAGCTTATTTGCGCGTAAGCTAGGACCGTATACTTTGCGTTGCAAATTACGACCCGGCGCGGTCACGTGAAATTGTTGACGTCGCGATATTGACCAGTATTAACTCGTATTAATAAGTATGATCTAAACCATTCAGCGGGAAATTATCGAAGACTGGCAGATCACGCAATTAAAAGATATCGAGATTTGCTCTAAAATGATTGAGAATGGAGCACGAAGATCTGAAGCAGACTAGACGCAATCAATAGCACCCGTCCCGCGGCGTTCGGAATTCTTTTACATCCATTCTTACGAGGGATCGGGAGTGACGCGTTGTAAAGTCGAGGAACGGCCGGTCATTCTTGGATTTTATTCGCTCTACGCTGAAACTGTCCTGACGCAGGTGAATCCCCTAATCGATAACCCGCGAGTAAGTTCGTCGCGAATTCCGCGTCATACTCCGATCCCTCGATTCTTGTCTCTGGCGATCACGTTTGTTTTTATCGCGCCGATAACACTCGCCACGTACGACGCCACGTAACGAAAGCGTCCATGTTCGCAGATACCATGAATTCGTTGGTGGACGAGATGGTCGTGGAGGCGGGGAAGAACGTCACGCTGGGCTGTCCGGGGGTGACGGAGGATTCGCTGGTGTTGATGCTCGAGTGGCGGGCAAACGGGATGCGGCTGCTCGAGTATAAGAGCAGAAGCACGACTGTTGTGCGGCGAACAGAACAGAACAGAATGTCCTTGTCGTTGAAAAATTATTCGCTGCAGCTGCACCCCGTCACCGCCGCCGACAGCGGTATGTACGAGTGTCTCGTGAACAACCGGAATACGCCGGAAGCGGTGATCAAGCTCATCGTGCGAGGTAAGTGGCGGAATGTTCTTAATCGCCTTCCCTCTGTCCTTCTCTTTTCGTGTGATATGTACTTTCCGTGGGAACAAGTCCAGTCCAGGATAATATAGAAACCGGGGACTGGCGCTCATTAATAAGTTCCTTTAATTCGATTCGAACTCGTACCGCATTATACATGTATGCGTGCCGAATCCAACAATGGATCGATACGTTCCTTTCTGTGTTTTCAATTATTATTTTATTGACGTCCGATAAAAAAGTTTTTTTATATTTATGAGAGCAAGCTCAAATTAAATAGTGAATGGGAATAAATATTGCGGTCGATCTCGAAAGAGAAAACTATTGGTAACATTTTCGCTTCTGACAATCTATGAAATTTAAATCTGTTATATTTTTAATTCGAATGTCAAAATTAAAAACTTGTTGTGTTTTGGATATTTTGAACCGTTTGATATTTTGCGTCAATAAGGTTCATCTGGGCTGATTTACGCTTTTAGTTTCATTACTTGGAAATATTTTTGTTAAACTTTAAATCATATTTATTACTTCTGGACTTCTTTGGGATATCATTAATCATTTACAAGACGTAAATCCGAAAACGTTAATTAACATTTCTATTATTTTAAACACTAAATTGGATGTTGTAATATTTCCTATGAGATATTTTGATAATTGATAAAATCAATTTTATTATAAATAACCATCTAATCTTATTTCTCGCAACTCCAGCGAAAATAATGTACAGTTATCGATATTTCCTATTGTATATGATCGGACGAGATATAAAAGTTCAAATGCGATTCCTCTGTTCTTAGAGTTAAAAAAAAGGAAAAGACTTACTTGTCCTACTTATATTGCCTTTAGCCGTTAGCTATATATATGAAAAGAATTTTCCGATACACGAAGATTTCTTGCAGCTTGACAATTTTATTTCCTCAAATCGAAATAAAAGACAAATATTAATTTGACCGCGACTACTCTTTTACATTTATGCAAAATATAATTTTAACAATTCTTAAAGGACTTACAAAGAAAATGAAGATACTTTGATAAAAAATTCGAATAATAATTAAAATGAGGATTAATCGCAATATTTTTGGTTACACAAATATTGATGCGTAAATATTGACGTCAATATATATGGATTACCTTCATAATGGTTCAAATATTTCAAAATCGCTTTGGATTCGTCTCAAAGACAAAATTGAATTTTCTCTTGGGTTATAACAAATCTTTTTAGGATGCTCATATATAATCCCGCTGATGGACTTTTTAAATCTAATTTATTTATTTATGGGATATCCCTCTTCTAATCGAAATGGCATAATTCATCGTAAAAAATCCGGGTTTATTTAGTTAATGATTGCGGTATTACCGGGGATCGTTTTCGATTCTGTTGATATTTTCGCAGGACAGGAGTTGAAATATCCGCGACTCCATTCATCGTGGTTACGATTTGCGTTCAATGAACTAGTTCACTGCTAAACTTGGCGAGTTTACGCGAAGTTTGCCGTGAACTTTGAAAGGCAGACCGGTCCGCGGGTGGCAACGCCACCCTTCTTAACAACCCCGTCGTCGCTCGTTGAGCTCCTAATGCTTTATTTTAAAACCGAGTCGCACACCCTTTCGCCCCCCCTCCCTCCGCCGGGCCCTCCGCCATCTCCTCCGCGCGGAGTGTTTGCTTTAAGTATTTACGCCTGATTTGAATTCGTCACGTGCAACCCACCGCGTCAAAAGCAAACTTTTCCCTAGCATCCTATAGACGATGACGGGCGGAATCATGAGAGTACGCGCGGCATAACTTCAGCGGCATAAGTTTGGCCGCCGAACTTCACCGCAAAAAACGAAGAAAACGAAACGGGCTCCTATCGTCGGGTTATGCCGCGGTGATTTGCATTCAATGCACGATCCGTTACTCAATTTGACTAAAAAGTTTCGCCCGAGGCCGCTAAAACAACGTGAAATTACGCCGACCGGGCGGACATTCGCATAACTCGGCGCGAAAAGTGAACTTTATCGCGACGCGACGCGACACGATGCGGTCTCGGAAGAATCAATGTACCGCTCACGATCAGAAACCTCGCGAATTTACATTTCTCATTTTGTGTACTCGATACTAGGCGACATATTCATATCATCATATCTTATAACATCTATGTTGCGCGCGCGCGCGCGCGCGCGCGTGTGTGTGTGTGTGTGTGTGTGTGTGTATACATAATGATGTATATGTACATTATGCCGTACGTGCTTCTAGTTGAAACTCTGAGCACGTAACACTTCGGTGGTAACCAATATTCACATTACGTCAACCATTAAAATGAACATTTTTCAAATCTCTACAATAGGAGCGTATACGCACATATCTCTCAGTAGAATACATTCTACTTGCGAGATTGATTCTCATGCTTCCCTCTGATTTCTGATTCTCGCATTGAAAAATTTCGCATTGAATTACGCGCGCGAAAACGAGCGAATGGTCAAAAATAAATTTCGTATTTCACACTCGCTGCTGTTGACCTAGCAAAAACTTCGTATCTCGCATCGTGAAATAACAAAACGGACAAGAGCTTTTTATAAATGTTTCAATACTTCACGATGGAAATGCGCACCGGCGAAGGATAAAGAGAAAATACGTGTATTTTCTTAATTGATAGCAATTTTTTTGTAATTACGAAACGTAGCCAAATTTCATATATCACATGTTTGTGGTCAAGTCAATTCACTGCATAGTCATCGAGTTATCGTCTCGTTAAGTCAGCAGGCTCGCCGATTTGTTTTGATGAACGAGCATCAGTGAGAGAGTTGGCAGATACGTGTGCCACTCTTCGAAACGATATCGCGAGCGGTACAAAGGACCCAAAGGGAACGCCCGGAACGAGCTTCGAATTATCGTCTCTCGAAGCTTCACCGGGATGAGTGGTGGTAGCAGGGACGGTGTTGGTTGACTGCAGCTATGAATAAGCGCGAGTCGTTTAACAGCGTGACGTTTTTTCGGCTCGCGGCAAAACAGTTTCATTCATATGCATGACGGGATACGCGGTTCGGCGTGAAAGAGAATGAGATGAGCAGAACGCGCGCGCGAGAGAAAGAGCGAGAAGGAGAAAAGAGCGAGGAGAGAAAAGAGCGAGGGGAGAAAAGAGCGAGGGGAGAGAGAGAGGGGGAGAAAGAGGAGAACCTTCACGGAATCTCGGTAGCGGCTAACGAGTCACGATTATTCCTTCCACTTCGCTTAACGAGCAGATGCAGATGCAAAGCCTTCGCGTTACTCGCCGTTACCGACTTCGGCATTGATCATTCATTGCTTTTACGTCCCTGTGAGGAGTTTTCCTTTAACGATGTATCTGGGACACAATGGAAAAAGTTTGATCTTAATAAAAAAAGGGCGCGTGCGCGCGCGTTCTGTGTGTGGTGTGGGGGGGAGGGGG